ATATAAATCTCACCTCAACATCATCAGGATACCTAGCCTCAATGGCATAGGATCTCAGGATATATCTTATATCACAAGTATTATATCAATACTACATCTCATGCATATTTTACATAACTCGAATAAATGTACATCATTACATATCATCCTTATTATGTCATTACACATTTCTCATTCTCAAAATATAATCCTATACATGATCATCTATCAAATGTAATGAAGGATTATACGAAATGTGTAACCTCAAAATGACATCTCATCATAATACATCATCTAATGTCTGCTCAAAACTGAATACATAATAGCAAAATAGTAAACACTCTATATGTAATGCAATCATGCTGTATTAGGCTTCTTGCCATGGGATGCTCCTATACTATCACTGTTGGTACCTGAAATGTATCCTCAACATGGGGAGAGATATAAATCTCAATAAACTAAGGGTTATTAGAGGATCACTCCATCCGATAGTTCACTTCACATGCATCACAGCCATATAAACATAACATAAATACATCATTTCATTACACATAAATTCATTCATCTCGCAAGAAACTTCTAAGAGAGACCTTTGTCTTTTATATATCTGATCTCTAGGAGGTCTCCATCGGGCTAACTCCAAGGGAAGTTCCTATCCTATGGTCCCTTCATAGGTGACCTTTGTCTCACAGGAATCAAATCCCTAAGGAACTCATATATTTCTAAGGAAGGTCCATACATAGTATACTTTCAAGGGCAACCTTTGTCCCTTAAGTATATAGCTCCAAGGTACCTCGTCGGGTTCCTAGGAAAGTGATTGTAACATTCATCTATCTACTGGCCAGAGATCATCTTAATCATATTCTCATCATCATAACATTAACATCATGCTCATCATCATAACATTATCATCATGCTCATCTTAAATCATTTAACATCATCATAAATGCATCAAGTCATATTCATATAATATATGGAACCACTCTCCAATGGAGTGTGGTGGAATACATAAGGGAATTGACTCCAAGATCCAGAAATTCACCTTACGGTGACTTCCATTCCAAGCTTTCCTCTTCCTAAATGTATACAACCACCAATTTCAACACAAGTCAACCTATGCAACATATCTAACACTGATCAACAACTTAAACAACATATAAATAATAAGTTATAAGGCTAGAACATTCTCTTAAACTCAACATTAATTCATAATCGCAACTTACCCTCTTTGTAAAAACTCAAGAATATTTGACTTAAGCAATAGTTGATTCTAATCGGTGATAATTGTTTGAAACATGACTAGGACCAACTCTACAATATAAAACAACATTAACCAATCATCATCATCCCTCTAAATCATGATTTTCACACACTATTCACCATAAAACCTATTAAAATTCTTTAAAAACATGAGTTAAATGGTGGAAACTTATCACAAATCAACTTAAGTTGCTAGGAGATGAAATTCCTAAGCTCCAACGAGTTCAAAAGCCCTCAAAACCAAGAATCTCTCAAAATTTTCGCAGCTATAGATGGCCAATATCTCCCTCAACACTGCTCCAACTCCGAAAATAAGGTGGGATTTTTCTTCTTGGAAGAAAATCAAGCAACTTTGACTTTGGAATCGTTCGATTCGTTGAGCGTAGCTCAAATGGTGTTCTTGGCAATTCTCTCTTTCTTTCATGGCTTCTTCGATGTTGAATGAAGAAGATGGCTGATGTGTGAGATGTTTTTCTGACTAACTTTTGTTTATTCTAACTCACTTAAGTCACTAACCCACTTGGTTATTTGTCTACACATGGTAACTTTCTATTTTACCTTCTTTCTTACTTAATCTAGCCATGGCTTAACATTTTACTGAATTGTGTGTGTTGAACTCATAATCCATGAATTTGTTCATCTATCATGAATTTTAGCATTAACTAAGCTCATGGGATAGTCTCTCACTAACTCATTTATAATTTTTCAGTAATTACTGTCATATTACAATTTTTATTGTAAACTTACAGTAATTACACTTTTTATTGAAAGTGACTTAAATTATATTTAATTATATTATTATTTAATTATCTCATATATTCATGCAAAATCCATAATCATTACAGGTAGGGGTTATTATAACATTGATAAAGAATACTAAAAGTTAAAAAAATAGAAGGCAAAAAAAAGAACAAATATAAAAAGAAGAAAATAATGTACGGACAAAAAAAAACCAAATAGTTAGGAACTTACAATAGATTTATTTTTCTTCTACTTTTTCGTATTATTTGTTATCGTATTTTTTCTTCTATTTCTTTCTTGTCTTGAGTCTATTTTCTTCTCTTTGATTAAGACTATTTTAAGGTTATTTTTCTTTTAGTTTTTTCTGTCATTGTTGTAAGTTTTCAACATATTTGATCTTTTTTTTTTAAATTTTTTGTTTAGGGTTTAGGGTTTTCTTCTTGATTTTGACATTTTTAGTCTTTTTTAAGTTTATAGCAGTGTTAAGGATGTGATTAGATGAAAAAAATAGAGGTTAGTAATTAAGAAAAAACATAGGAATATAAATAATTCAAAGCAAAATCATAGGAAGTTTTTGAATTTTTCCTTAAAAAGATTACAAATTGTGAATTTAAAGTGATTTTTTGCTTTACTTTTTTACGAACTTATTTATTTAGATTTTTTAAAGAATAAAAATATTCTTTAAAAAATGCACCCAAAGAAATTTAGCATATCTGAATATATTTTTTAAAATAATTGCAAATTTTATGTATATTTTTCAAAAAGTTATAAGACAGCTTCTTAAAATTAATTACCATAATTAGAAATACTTTTTTTTGAAACGATTGCGTATACTTCCTTAATCTTATCCAAATATACTAAAAATCTACACATGTTATTTTGTATAATATTAATTATTATTATTTTATAAAAAATACATCCAAACAAGCTGTAATAACAAAACATGAAAATTATTCTTGCCGATCTGATTGTCTCAATCATTTATTAAATATTTATTAATTATTAAGTTTATTCTAAAAAATATTAAAGTACAGTAGTAATACCCACAAGGTACCTATGTTGCACTGATATCGACACAAAAAACGAGACACGATACGATACGACACTTTGATACATTAATTTTTAAAAGTTAAATTTTAACATATTAGGATGCGTTTTGATATTTAATAATATTCTTAATTTATGTAGTGTATATTATATTTAATATTCAATAATTTATCACAAAAATAAAGCTAAGCTTATAATAACTATCAATTTCACAAAAAAAAAAAGATATCCTAAATATTTATATTAAATTCAATAAAATGACAATCGTAATCCATCAAATTTAATAGTTAGAACTACAAATGCAACACAACGCAATATTTGAATTTTTTTTTAAGTCTGCAATACATGTTGAAATATCAGAAATTGTCAAAAAGTATCAAAGACGACGTTTGTAAGTTTTTTAAAATATCCGCACATCGTAGCAAGTTACTATGATGTTTTAGTTCAAATAGGATAAAATAATGTGAATCATTCTTTTAACAAAGCTAACAAAATGCCAATTTTCCAAAATGATACGAAATATGTCACAAAATATGTAACGTTCTTCAATAATTAAAATTTAGATTCATTTTAACAAGTATAGCCACGTACATTTATTATTAATTTAAGAATCAGAGGCACACACAGTTTTAGGAATAAATTCCAATAAATGCTATTCAAAAAATTAAAATAAAACATATCACATTTTAAAAAAATAATGTCAATTAAGTATATAAAATCACAAAATCATGGGCTCTTTGAGCGATTTGGGGATTTTACTCATTTAATTTTTTAATTTGGTATTTGATTCCCAATATTTATTAATAAGGATTATTTAGTGTCGTAGTGGTCCTAGCGACACACAGAGTGCCGCAAACATCCTCGCGTCACTCACACATTTTTTTTTTCTCAATTGAGTGACACTCGCACCTGGCTTCGGCACTCATAGAATTGTGTCAAGTGACACAATTTCATTAGTCCCGTACAGTAAAATTTCGGAAGATCATAACTTTTGACTCAGGTATTCAAATTGGATGATTTTTTTATTTCACATAACTTTTTGAAATCTACGCAATGACACCTCATTTGACATATTTTATCTCTCACAAACATAGTTTAAATTTGTAAAATTATGAAACTATTGTTGCAAATTTGAACTATGTTTATAAAAGATAAAATGTTCTAAATGAGATGTCATTGCATATATTTCGAAAAGTTATGTGAAATAAAAAAAATTATCTGATTTGAATATCCGAGTTAAAAGTTATGGTCTTCCGAAGTTTTACGATAACAGAACTAACAAAATTGTGCCATTTAGCACAATCCTGTGAGTGACTCGGGGGAGGATTGCGACACTCAGTAACGCAAGACAGTGAATGACCCCGTTGATAAATACCGGTAAACAAATATCAAATTAGTACATTAGAAAGTCAAAGTGCCCAAAATCATGTCCATTAATTATACAAAATCACAAAATCATGTTAATTAACTATACAGAATCACAAATCTTCTTATATTTTTCTAATTTCACAAAAGGATTCATTATTTCTATCTTACATAACAAAGAAATCATCTTCTACACGTACAAATTTAAAGTGAGTCTTATTCTACTTTTTCTTTTCTTTTCTGAAAATAAATCTCACCAACACAAATAAGTCTGTTAAAAAATAATAATTTTATGCTAGTGCACGATAAAAGTATGACCCTCTCACAAAATAGTAACCATCGAATAAAAGAAGAAACTTTGAATTCATTGTAACGCTAAAAAAGAACAGGAGCAAAAAAAAAATGGGAAGATTGGATATGTCTTTGAGACTTTGAGCTGTGCCGTTCTCTATATTTAATATATTGTTTGATTCCCACATTAAGAACCCAGGTTCTTAGCTTTCCGTTTAATTCATGACCTCACAATTATTAATTTCACCAACTCACCCTCTCACAAAACAACAATAAACACTTAAAATACACTTCAATCTCTCTCCTTGAAAAAAACATAAACGCACACCATTGCCTTTTTTTTCTTTTTTTGTTTTCTCTTTCTTTCTTCACCACCTTTAACAACAATGGCTTCACCACCTTCAATTCCCTTGTTGTTTCTTCTCCTCACACTCTTCATCGCCACATGCTCTTCGCTCACCTGCACCACCCAGAAGCTCACCACCAACAAGGTCTACCCCAATTGCTTGGACCTTCCTTTTCTCAATTCCTTCCTTCACTGGACCCATGACCCTTCTAACTCCTCTCTCTCGGTGGTTTTCGTGGCCACGCCGCCGAATCCCGGTGGTTGGGTCTCGTGGGGTCTCAACCCCACCGGCACCGGCATGGTGGGGACTCAGGCACTCGTGGCCTTTAAGAATAACGGCGTTATGGCGGTGAAGATGTTGGACATAAAGTCCTATAGTGACTTTGTTCCGGGGAAGTTATCTTTTGATGTTTGGGATTTGAAGGCTGAGGACGTTGGTGGGGTGATGAGGATATTTGCGTCGATGAAGGTGCCGGACAAAGCGGTTACCTTGAACCACGTGTGGCAGGTGGGGCCCTCCACCACCGCTGGTAGGTTGGATAAGCATGGCTTTGCTCCGGCGAATTTGAATGCCAAGGGAAAACTTAGCTTGAATGGAGAACAGAGTTCTACTGATACTGGTGCTGTGGACTCAAGAACCAAGAGGAAGAATGTGAGTTTTTAGTTTTTTTATTGTTGTTTTTATTTTTTGTGGTTTTAGACAATGGGTGTTTGTTAATTTTTCTTTTGGTTGAAGAATTTGGGGTTTTTTAGTTTTTATTATTATTATTATTAGTTGCTGTGTTTTGGGAAAATTGTTTTTTTTTTTTTTTAATTCTCTCATCTTCGCTGAAAAAGGGTGAGTTTTATATTTTGATTAGTTTTTGTGATGTAAGAAAAAAAAAGGTGCTTTCTTTCCCCCCCTCGTTTCATTGATTTGTTTGTGTTTTCGTTCCAGGAGTGAGTTTGTTTATGGTCTGGTTTATTTTTTATATTTTGGGTGTTGAAGATAAAGTTGTCTTAATCTGTTTAGAGTTCTGAGATGAAGTGATATCTCTTTAAGTCAACTTAGATGTTAATAATCTAGAAAAGCTTTCACCTTTGTTGGGTAGAATTCATGGAACCAACGAACATGTTTTGTCTGAGTGGTTTATTTGTGTAGGAATAATGAGTTTATTTGAGTGATCTAGAGTTATTTTTATCTTAATAACAGAATGTTTGATCTGTGATTTTCTTGAATGACAGTTTCATGGCGTGCTAAATGCTGTGAGTTGGGGTGTGTTGTTCCCACTTGGAGTGATTATAGCAAGGTATATGAGGACTTTTCCATCTGCAGATCCAGCTTGGTTCTATCTTCATATTACGTGCCAATTATCTGCTTATGTAATTGGGGTTGCTGGCTGGGGAACTGGTATGAAACTTGGAAGTGAATCAGAGGGGATTCAATACAGTGTTCATCGCAATATTGGAATTGCCCTCTTTTCTCTTTGTACTTTACAGGTAAAATGTTTTCTAATATTCTCTTATTACAATCCTATGGATATTTGTCATTTCCTAACCCAAGAAATGAGGACATTACAAATCTAGATTTTGCAAAATATTTGAGTTTTGGACAAGCTGATTGTCCTTTTCTCTGAGTGTAATGACTTAAGTAGTGTATTTTCTCTGTGATTTTTTTGCAGCTTTCAGCACTGTTCATAAGGCCAAAAAAGGATCACAAGTATCGGTATTTCTGGAATATTTATCACCATAGCTTTGGGTACACTATAATTATCCTAGGAATTATCAACATATACAGGGGCTTTGACATCTTGAATCCTGAAAAGAAATGGAAATCAACTTACAGCTCAGTGATTATTGCATTGGGTGTAATTGCCTTTTTGTTGGAAGTGATCACATGGATTGTTGTGTTCAAGAGAAAGTCTCGCAATTCCACCAAACCTTATGATGCATACAACAATGGACAACCCCTTGGCATATAATCGAAGCAGACTCTTATTTATTACATATTTCGTATATTACTTGGTTTCACAGTGATTTTTATAGTAATGAGTACAGAATTTTCCTTCACTGTGATTAGGTTGATGAAAACTTTTGCCATGCTTGTGCATTGGAGACTTATTCACAGTAGGATTGGTTGTTTTCTCTACTTGTGTGCGTTTCTTATTCCTCTTAATTCTCGCACTACTTGGGGCCACAACTCAACAAGCTATTGTTTAATACTCATGCTTGTGTTCAAATTGGTAAAGCCAATACTTTTTTTTTGGAGTATAAATTTGGAGATATTGTCATTCAATCTTCTTCAACTATCTTATCTTCGGAGTACGGTTCCAAAAGCTATTTCCTTATTGAAACAGCTGGTGCATTGGGTTATGTCACTAGAGGAAGGATAAGATTAATTTCCTCTTGAGGAGAGAGGCACATCCTTTCACCCTAAATTTTTTTTCAAGAAATTGGATGATCAAGGATTTGAACCCTGAATCATATAACCCCTTGGGAGCTCAATTTTCAGCTACCCTCGGTGATTAAGCCAATAATTTATATGATATGATAGTGACTTCCACCTTGTATGGGATAATTCATGATGCTAATTAGACTAATTATGATGCTAATTAGACTCATCAAAGTAATAATTTCACGTAATTTACTACGCTAAAGGGTCCATTACGTGGAGCATGAATGCCACAGCTCAATATCAAATTGTCAACTAGTTCTTGATAATTTTCTTGGGAGTTATCATTAGTTATAAAGGTGGAAAGACTCCATTGGCTTGGCTGGCTTGGCCAGATTTTGAGGGAACCCTTTATTAGTTAATTGACAGCAAAAGTCGCTCTTTTGCTTGACGTCAAACTTTAGCTTAACGTTATTTACCATACCATATTGTAATTGGGAACAAATTTGATTTCTGTAGTGTCCCTAAAGTTAGGGTCACCCATGGCCTGCAATGTACCTAGCCTCCTTTTTCCCCACAACTAATGCTTTCACTTTCATTATGCTTGCTTTTGTTGCTTTCCTTTTAATCATAGCTTTGTTTTATGAGATTCCCATGTGATGTGATGCATGCATGCTTCATCCTCATTGCTTGGAAGTAGGTTAAAGAAAACTAATCACTACCAAGATGAATTTCAATTTGTTTTGTACAAAATATTTGTAAAAACCCCGTTTTCTTTGTCTTCAGTCTTTAGCTTTGGGAAGAATAGTGCTCCGTTGAACACGGCCTGTGAGTTTCTTACAATCCCCCTCCGTTACCTATCACATTTCACTCTTTAAGAAAATCTAAATCTCAATAAATATTGTGGAACAATTTAAAGTCAATCTGATTGTTCAACTTTAATATTTACTATCATTTATACAAATTTAAATCATTCATAAAGTAAAAGTAAAAAAAGAAAAAAAAGAATTCACTTTATCAAATAATAATGTATATTTCTTTTTTTTAGATATAAATGTGAAATTGAACACAAAACTTAATACAAATTACTCAAGCCCTTCTAGTGGCTTAATTTTTTTTTATATACAATGGTGTGAGGTTTAAACCAATAACCTCGTGTAAACTACTCAAACCCTTCACCACTAGGCTAAGAGCCTGTTTGAATTCTCTCTTTTATTTTTTTTTTAAGATAAAAGCTATTTTTAAGCTAAAGGAAAAAAAAATCTTAAAAAAAGCTAAAAGTTATTGGTGATTACATTTTAACTTAAAAGCTTAAACCTCATTTCAAGAAATGTTGATAAGTGCTTAAAAAAAATTGCTCTTAGAAATTTTTAGCGTTTGACTTTTTCGTCATTCTACAAAAAATCTTTTTTTATTATAAGAGTTTTTGTAAAAATATGTTTGACATAGCTTCTACTTATAAGGAGAAGAGAAGTAAAAAAAAGAGAGGATCTAGGCACAGTGACTTTATAATAATGTACGTTTAAATCTTTACATATTTGCTTTTAGTTTCACTTCCTTTTTCATTTTTATTATTTAACTTTGATACCTAAAATAAAATATATCCAAATGCCCCCATTTGTTTCTTTTTGTTTGGCAAAACACCCATGTGATCCAACATTGAAAGTTTGCTGGGTTCGAAGGGTTTGATACTTTTGGTCCTAAGACATGGAGATTCAAAATTTGTTGGAGGTAAGAAGACAGATTTAAAAACAAGGAACGCTTGGCTTTTTCTTATCTTCAGGAACATCTTGTCTTGTATTTGTTGGAACGTTTTCCCCTTACTAATCATAAGGAAAGCTTACCCCTTACTAATCCTGTTTGAATGAAGCTACAAGTCTTGCTAAAGACTATAAATATAGCGTTGACTGGGAGGCAATCCAGTGTTTTCCTTATTGTTCGTAGCATAGTCTATTTTGATCTTTAGCATGAACAAAGTTTTGTGGTGGTCTACCTTGACCTCTTGAACCCAATACAAGGATCTGAACAACTAATGTTTCGTCCTTTATTATATTTTGAGATTAATTCACTTCATTTCTTAGCAGGAACAAAGTCTTGGGTGGCTAATTTAGGTTAACAGTGTTAGTATGTAGGTGTTCTAGAGAAAACTTATTTTATTATATGAACACCTTGTACTATTTAGTATTTCATGATTTACGTATTTGAGCAAACTTTATCTTTATAATATTTATGTCTCGCATATATTTTACGATTAATATGTGTTTAAAAATAAAGGCCCTAGGAGTAGAACATGTGTTCACTCGACGATCTATGATATGGATTATGATCATGAGGACTCGAGGACACTGCATGTCTATTGCTTGAAACTAGTTCCTAGTCTTGAATCACCGAGAAAGGACATTGGTGATCTCAATAAGACTAGTACGTCATCATCTACTTGTATGCAGATACAAGGTAAGGACCTCATAGAATGCATGCATGGTGATGCCTTAGCTGATGTCGTGGGTGAATCTGTTAGAGAACAGATAGCACTGAACTGACCCATAAAGATGTTGAATCATAGGTCAAGAAGACTATGCTTATGAAGTTTAGATGATAACAAAGCAATAATAAGTACCAATATAGCTCAACAAGAAAGCTCTCAATGAAAGGCATGGCAACAAGTGCAAACATGAAGAGAAGACTCAAATATGCAAAGTCAAAGCTCAATTCAAAGATTTCAAGCTAAAAAGGGTACTAAAAGACTCAAACTATGAAGATCAATGAAGACTCAAGCACTTACTGGTTATATAGTACATTAAGAGTCTTAGAACTTATTATGATTGAGTTTATTGAGTTTTTAACTTGGAAGTGCAAAAATAAACCAAAAACTCATTTAGGTGACATATATTCACTTAGATTATGCATACAAGGTTCACACACATCAAGAGTTGTTATACAAGTGTAAACATGATCATATATATATTAGAAGTTACTTAGAATCATTCAGAAGTCACTGAAAATCATTAAGATGCATTACATTTCGAAAAACCAGCTGAAAACTGATTTCTGCATAAAAGTAATCGAATACTTTTCGCAAAGTAATCGAATACTTTTATGAGTAAAAAAGTAATCAAATACTTGATGAACAGTATCTGAATACTTTCTGGGTTTGAAGAAGTATTTGAATACTCCCCGAAAAGTAATCGAATACTTTCTGTTATTAGTGATTTAAACTCGAAGAAATTCAAATTTTTTTGATGCCCATCGGCTATAAATGACTAATAACTCATTGGACACCTACAAATACATATCATCAGGGTTCTGAACACAAGAATTAATACTGAAACACTCAGAATCAAGAAATCTCAGAATTGAACCCATATTGGCTTACTTTTGCACATCCTTGAGAAAATCTCGATTACTCTCTCATCTCTCAATCTTTTTCAGTTCTTTTTTTTGTTTGAACGTAGAGAGGTGACTCTACATCTGTTTAACAAGAGTGAATTGCTGCAGTTGTTGGAAAGACAATTGGAGTGACCCTAAAGGCTTAGGTTAAGTGTGATCAAGGTGTGATCATAGACTTGTAAAATTTTAGTTGTAAAAAGGTTTCTTCAAGTACATGTTGGAAGCTTGATGATAGTGAAAACGATCAACCTTAGTCTGGACGTAGCTCTCAAGTGGTTTAGGTGATGAACCCTGGACCACGAGGACCATATGTGAATGCGCAAGCATGGGTGGCACCATATCAGCCACCTTTTCAACAGAGGATCGAAGTAACATCAGCTATTCATGGACCATCCGGAATGCCATTATCTTGGGAGATTAAGGCAAGAGCCCATTCCAAGCTAGTTCAAACAACCAAATGATATGAAAGCATATGATGGAAGCTCGGATTCACGAGAGTTCATAACCATTTTCCGAGTAGCAATGTCGTTGTGTGGGGAAACAGATTCACTGTTATGTCGAACGTTTCCAATTTTCTGAGAAAGTGAGCTTGGAGTGGTTTACCATTTTGCCCTAAAATTCAATTGATAGTTGGGGGGAGTTGGCGTCGCGATATACTCAACAATTTGCACATTGTGGGCAACAGCCAAAAACTACCCATACTTTATGTGGAGTAAGGCAAAAACCGGATGAGAAGTTAAGGTAGTATTATGAGCATTTCCAAGCGGAGGCCAGGCAAGTTAAAGGCTTAGAAAATCAGACGTATATGTTATTATTCACTGTCGGGTTGCAACCAGGAAGGTTGGCAAACTCTTTAGCAAAAAAGAGGCCAGCCACTAAAGAAGAATTGTTAGAAAGAACCCGAAAGTATATTGATTTGGAAGAGTTCAGGGCATCACAGAAGGAGATTGAATGAGGATTCTGAGAAGCTACGTAGAATAGGAGGCCGGATAGACCCATGGGAAGAGGACAGATGGAAGAAAAAAGACCTCATCTAATTGGATAAAGGTTCAGAGAGGGATTTAGAGGAGAGTTTACTCCTTTAAATGCTCCTCGAGCACAGATCTTTAAAGAAATAATGAATGCAGATATGATGAACGTCCCAAGGCCGCCGCCAATTAGGTCCACTTATGCACAAGCAGACAGATCCAAATGGTGCGAATTTCATAGAGGATATAGGCATTTCACAAATGATTGTTTCAATTTCTGCAATGCTATTGAACAACTAATTAGAGAAGGTAAACTTCAGAAGTACATACGAAGGGGAGGGACAAATGGATGCAAATAAGGAGAGGAAAGATATAAAAGGTAGGACAGAAGCAGGAGCCCGCCAGGAGAAAGAAGGAAGGAGACGAAGAAAACTAAAAAAATAGAAGAATCACCCCCATCTAATCATGTTCAAGTCGGACATGTTTGTACAATAGCTGAGGGCGAGCGGGGGGAGGCGAATCTATGAAT